CAGCCAGGGCTACACAGAGAAACCCTGTCTCAAAAAAAACAACAAAAACAAAACAAAAACCACAGTCACTCCCATTCCTCATGTTCTCTGAGAGCGAGGGAAACCTCCATAAATGTATCACAGTGGATTACCCCCACGTCTCATGAGCTAGAATTATGACATATGCCACACCCAAGTAAACCTGGCAACCAGGGAGGTCGTATCAAGGCCAGCATTAATACTCACTTCCTTGCACATTTATAAATCTAGCATTTGGGAAGCCGAGAAAAAAGACCTTGAGTTAAGGCCAGTTTGGGCTACCCAATGAGTTCCAGGCTAGCCTGGGCTGCTGTGAGACTGTCTCCAACAAAAGGCTTACCTCCTGGAATCAGAAAAAGGGGAAAATACCCTGACACACTGATATTAAGAACAGAGCAGCAGTGAAGAGGGGAAAGGGTGTGAGATAAAGCTAAGAGTAAAGAGTGACAGCTGGGGTGATGGCTCAGTTGATAAAGGGTTTTCAAGAACATACTGTGAACTTCAATCTCTAAAACCCACATTTAAAAAAAGCCTCAGCTGGGCGTTGCTGGTGCACGCCTTTAATTGGGAGGCAGAGGCAGCCAGATCTCTGTGAGTTCAAGGCCAGCCTGGTCAACAAGAGTGCCAGGATAGGCTCCAAAACCTACACAGAGAAACCCTGTCTTGAAAAACCAAAAGAAAAAAAAAGCCTCACTGTGTTGGGTAATGGACACCTTTGATCCCAGCACTTAGAAGGCAGAGGCAGACTGATAGACTGATCTATGAGTTCTAGGACAGGCAGGGTTACCTAGATCCTGTCTCAAAACAAAACAAAACAAACCATCCAGGTGATATGTCATCCCTGTCATGGGATATGTCATCCCAGTCAGGTGATATGTCATCCCAGTATTGGAGAGGCAGAAACAGGAGGACCCCTGAGGATTGCAGTCAGTCTACCCTAGTTGGTGAGCTTCAGGGCAGTGATAGGTTAATTTTAAAAAAGTGGCAGTGCCTGAGGAATAATTCCAACTTCATCTGACATTTATATGCATCTGCACAGACATGATACATGTAAAACACTTCATGAACACACACACATGCATACACTCGTTTAAAAAAATCCTGTTATGGCCGGGCGTTGGTGGCACACGCCTTTAATCCCAGCACTCGGGAGGCAGAGGCAGGCGGATCTCTGTGAGTTCGAGGCCAGCCTGGTCTACAAAGTGAGTTCCAGGACAACCTCCAAAGCTGCAGAGAAACCCTGTCTCGAAAAACCAAAAAAAAAAAAAAATCCTGTTATGAGCCTTGAGCCCTGGTTTCTTTGATCAGGGTCTTACTGTGTAGTTCTAGATAGCTTGGAACTCACTAGGCTGGGAACTCAAGATTCACCTGCCTCTGAGTGCTAGGATTTCAGGCATAGGTCACAACACTGTGGGCTGTATTTGTGTGTGGGGGGGGCAGGGAGGGAGGGAGAGAGAGGGAGGGAGAGGGAGCAGGAGCGGGAGCGGGAGAGGGAGAGGGAGAGGGAGAGGGAGAGGGAGAGGGAGAGGGAGAGGGAGAGGGAGAGGGAGAGGGAGAGGGAGAGAACCCAGAAAGCCAAAAGAGAACATCTGAATCTCTGGATCTGGAGTTACAGTGGTTGTGAGCTAACATGGGTGCTGGGAACTGAGATCTGGCCTTTGTAAGAGCAGTTAGGGCTTTTAATTACTAAGCCATTTCTCCTAGTTAAAGAGCACCAACTGTGTGCAGTATTCCCAGTTGGTAGAGGGCATCAGATCCTCCTTTGGAACTGGAGTGACAGAGCAGGGTTTCTCTTTGTAGCTTTGTAGACCACGCTGGCCTCTAACTTGCAGAGATGAGCAACAGTGTTCTTAAATACCGAGTTATCTCTTCAGCTCCTGGGCAACATTTTTAACTTTTTTTTTTTTTTTCAAGACAGGGTTTCTCGGAGGCTGTAGAGATGGCTCAGAGGTTAAGGGCACTGACTGTTCTTCCAGAGGTCCTGAGTTCAATTCCCGGCAACCACATGGTGGCTCACAACCATCTACAATTCAATCTGATGCCCTCTGTGGGTATGTGGGCAAAGCACTGCATATGTAATAAATAAATAAATCTTAAAAAAAAAAGACAGGGTTTCTCTGTAGTTTTGGAGACTGTCCTGGAACTCTCTTTGAAGATCAGGCTGATCTCGAACTCACAGAGATCAGCCTGCCCCTGCCTCCTAGTGTGGGGATTAAAGGTGTGCGCCACCACTGCCCGGCTTTGGGCAGTATTTTTTTTTGGTTTTACGAGACAGGGTTTCTCTGTATTGTTTTGGAGGCTGTCGGTCCAGCCTGGCCTTGAACTCACAGAAATCGCCTGCCTCTGCCTCCCGAGTGCTGGGATTAAAGGCATGCGCCACCACCGCCCGGCTTGGGCAGTATTTTTAAATACTTGATTTATGTAGCAGTTGTTCTGCCTAATACTAGATAGTTATAAAATTATAAATTACAGGGTTTTGGGAATCACTGGTTTCTCTCCAGGGAAACCATAATAAAACTATGGAAGTCTTAGCCTTGTACCTGTGAGTGCAAAAATACTTAAGACAATCAACTTTGAAGGGAGATTTTTTTTTTGTCTCACAGCTTCAAACAATCCCCAGTTAAACTTGTTCCTTTTGTGCCTACAGTGAGGCAGCCCACAGCAGAAGAAAACTCATGTCTGAGGAATTTGTTTGCCCCAAATGTGGAGGAATGGTTTGGGAATCCCAAAGTACTGCCTGACAGGAAAATCTTTGTGACCTCAGGTGAATCCTCTTTGGAAAAATCTGCTTGCTCTTTCCCAGGAGGACAGCACCTAGTGCAGGGACACTAGCCCACTGGAGCATGTGGCTCTGGTAGGCCTTGCCCTTTCCCCGCTTTCCCTCTGCCTTGCTGAAAGCCCTTAGATTACATTCCTAAAGCTAGCCCCCCCCCCCAAGGTCTATTACCTTATTTGGCCACTTCCTCAATCTGAGGCTGACTACCAAGGTTCAGCTATCAAAGTATTGAATTCAGCAACCAAAAGCCCCTTTGGCTCACCTAATTAACATGCCCAATTAAAATTAAACACCCATTCTAACACAGGGGTTGCCCCTTTACCTTTATAAGCCACCATGTGTCCACGTGCCACCTCTGTCCCCTCGCTATCCAGAGGCAGTCCTCTGTCCCTGTGCGACAGATACCCCTTCACCCTTTCCCTTGTCCTCTTCCTCTCTCCTTACCACTCCATCCTACCCCATTCTAACACAGACCTCTCCACTCCCTCCCCTTAAAAATTAAACCTGAAACACCACCACCAACACAGCCCTGCGCGGTGGCGGTGCACTCCTTCAATCCCAGCACTCAGGAGGCAGAGGCAGGCGGATCTTTGAGTTCGAGGCCGTCCTGGGCTACAGAGTGAGTTCCAGGACAGCCAGAGCTAAACAGAGAAACCCCTGTTATGACAAAGCATGAGGAACCTTGGCGGATTCCATGGCAGGCGAGGATGACCTAGGCAGAAGGACAAACACACCAGGCAGACAGAGCTTAGTGAGAAGTTGTATTAGAAAGGGGAGGGGTCGGAGGAGAAGGAAAGAGAAAAGACCTAACGAGGCACAGAGACAGACTGGACAGAAGAGAAGAGGGAGACAGGAAAAGTCCTGTCTGCCCCAGGGGAACAGCAGGTAAGAGAGAGGGAAAGAGAGAGAGAGGGAGAGGGAGAGAGAGAGAGAGAGAGAGAGAGAGAGAGAGAGAGAGAGAGAGAGAGAGAGAGAGAGAGAGAGAGAGAGAGAGAGAGAGAGACAGAGAGAGAGAGAGAGAGAGAGAGAGAGAGAGAGAGAGAAGAGAGAGAGAAAAGAGAGAGAGAAAAGAGAGAGAGAAAAGAGAGAGAGCAGAGAGAGAAAAGAGAGGAGCCGGAAAAAGAGCATAAGTGGGCGGAGGTCTTTCTTTTAAAGGGTCCTTTGCACCTGGGCTGACCAGCGTACTGCCTGAGTGCATTCTGCCAGGTGACAGGGGCAGGCCAGCATAATGTCCGAATCCTTACAACCTTGTCTCGAAAAACAAAATTATACCTGCAGTGCCATTTGCTGCTATTTTCTGCCAGAGTCAGAAAGCAGCCACTTTTAACTTTTCTTCCCTGCTTAATAAAGAATCTCTCTGCGAAAACAGGTGTTTGGGTGTGGTTTGTGCTTAATCTGGGGCCCGGGGAAGGAGCCCCCAGCTGTGCGAGTCCCCTTCTGTGGTCAGCTTGTGTGGGACACTTCCTAGGAGAAACTAGGCCCACCCAAACATTGGGCAGAAGGTTGTTAGGGCCCAACGAGGCGTCATTAGTGTTATTCCACTTTTTGCCCGGGAATCCTTGTGCACTCTCCCTGCGGCCAGTGTCAGGGGTCTGATAGTGACAGGGACTAGTCAGGGGGCTCTTTCCAACATCTGTCGCCCTCCTTAGTGATGTAATATGCAGCCCAATCAGCGGGGAGGCCGTGCGACCTCAGGAGGCCTCGGGAAAACCAAGCAGAGACGTAACCAAGGGCTTGTCTAATGATCCCGACGTCCTCATACCAGACGCCCTCGTTGCTGCTCTTCATCCGGGAACCTCATCCGGAGCCGCCCTCCCGTGCACTTCCGCCTCCGGAAGTGACGCAAGCGCCAGACTCGCTCTGGGCAGTCGAGAGCGCCCCGGAAAGGCTGGCGCTGCTCACTGAGGAGAGTCTCCGTGACGGGACAGTCGCTAGGCCCGCCTCTCCACCTGGGTGAGTCCCCCGGAACCGTTGTCGCGTCTCCGTGGGAGCGGCCGCTTGTTTGGCCTGCGGCGGACGCGTAGGAGGCTCCGCGTCCCGGCTGACGGCTGTTCCGGAGCCCGGGAGCGCGGAAGGCCGAGCTCGCGGCCCTGTTTTCCTCTCAGCCCGGGTTCATCGCGAAACCCGGGGAACCGGAGTGGCCCCGTGGTGGCGAACCCAGCGGCCGGGCCCCGGTGGCAGCTAGGTTTGTGTGGCCCGCTTCGCCCCCTGGGGACCGAACCTTCACCTAAAAGGGAAGTGGATGGAGGGCGGCTCCGGGCGAGGCCTCTGAGCAGGCCGGGAGTGTCACCGAGGGTGGTGGAAGGAAGGTGGACGAACCCTGCATGTCCTTGGGTCTGAAGGACACCACGCAGGCACATCGCAGCCCTTCCTCGTGCTGCGCCCAGGCGGTCCGACCAGCCTGCCCTGAGGGTCCGTCTCCAAAGTGAGTTAGCTGTGTTATTATTCATCAGGCCCATTGAGTAATGCAGAACGGCCTGACCGGTTACCACATAATTCCTAAGGGGCTTGATTTTGAGAAAAACAATGAGTAATCGTAACTGGTGTGTTTCTCTGGGTCTAAACTTGAGCCTCTAAATACTTAGGACGCCCTATGGAAAGATTTACGCTATTGTTCTGGTTGATTTCTTTTCTCTCTCTCTTTTTTTAAAAGGCTACCTGCTGTATTTTTTGGTATGTTTTGTTTTTGAGACAGCCTTGGACTCCTGAATAGGAGCTCCTGCCTACATCTTCCAAGTGTTGGGGTTACAGGCCCAGCGGGGTGTGTGTGTGTGTGTGTGTGTGTGTGTGTGTGTATGTATGTATGTATGTATGTATGTATGTGAACATATACACACATATATGCATATGTTTTAATACCACGGATACGGGTTTTACAGTAGAGTGTGAATAGTATCGAATTCTTCGATTTGGGTTTTAAGTTTTGAAACTGATTGGTCCCCCCCCCCTTTTGGTGGAGGGAAGGGTGTTAAGGGATTCAAACAGGGCCTTGTGCATACTAGGAAGTAGTGATACTTTGAGCTGTACGTATCTTCAGCTTCCTATTTTTCTTTTTGCTGTTCATTTTGGTTGTTTTTTTTTTTTTTTTTGGTTTTTCGAGACAGGGTTTCTCTGTGGCTTTGGAGGCTGTCCTGGAACTCGCTTGGTAGTCCAGGCTGGTCTCGAACTCACAGAGATCCGCCTGCCTCTGCCTCCCGAGTGCTGGGATTAAAGGCGTGTGCCACCAACGCCCGGCTCATTTTGGTTTTTAATAACCTTTTTCCCCCCCTTTTGGACCTAAAATACCATGCACTTTAATTGATTGCATTTAGAGAAACAGCTCTGTGGACAGTGATACCTGAAATCGAGTACTTTTTTGTTTGTTTTTTTGAGGCAGGGTTTCTTTGTATAGTCCTGGCTGTCCTGGAACTTGCTCTGAAGACCAGGCTGGCTTTAAAATTTATTTTTAACTAATTTTTCTTAAATATCTACCCATATATAAAATGGTTTGCTAAGTCCCTAGACTGTGGAATGGTGGGACATTTTAGTTTATTGAGTAATTTCTCTTAATCTCACCCTGCAGTGATGATCATTGTCCCCCTGAACAGGGATGGAGGAAACTGCCTATGAAGCAGCAGGATCACCAAGGGTCCAGTTTCAGTCTTTGGAGAGCCAGTCTGAATGCCTTTCCCCAGAGCGTCCGTTTCTGCAGGACACGGAGATGGAGCAGGGACTCACTGGGGGTAAGGCAGAGACCACACACATTTGCAGGAGAATGGGAGTATTAAGGGACTCTTGGGCCTGAGAGGAAGAACTGAAGGGAGGGATTTCCTTCCTAGTTTGGGGCCCTCTGTTAAGGATGACTAGTCTTTCTTTACATAGGTTGTCCTGCTCTGCTTGTTTGTCCTTTAGAAATTGTGGACTTAATTCCTATCACCATATCCGGAATTATTTAAGACAGGCTGCTTTTGCCACATTTCACTAGGCTTACCTGGTTTTTACTTCCTCACAGACTCAGAAAGAACCTTTCCCTCCCGCTGTTCCCTTCACTTTGTGTCTCCTTTCCTGATGATTTGGTGTGCTTTGCTACCTGCCATTCTGTTGCAGCTGCAGATTGTGAAGAATTTAATTTTAGTCAAGAAAGCAACCATGTAAAGTCTGTAAATGCACAGATGTTACATATTAACTGTGCATTCACATACGTGTATTAGATAGGTAGGTTTGGCAGTCTTTTTTTTCTTTTCCCCACCGGAGACAAGGTTTGTTATATAGCCCTGGCTGGTCTAGTACTATCCAGCCCACAATTTTGGATGAATCTTGTCTCTGCCTCTCCAGTATTAAAATTGTAGGCATTCATTACTATAGTTAGCTGCTGATTTTGTTATGTAAGAACTATGTCTTAGGTTTCTGTGACCAATACTAGTGCCTGAAGTAACTTGTGTTAGCAGCACAGATGGAGTGCCATTAAGTGGGGGGGGGTGCTCTGGGGACATTGGAGATGTAAAGAATTATGAAGAAACTGACCATTCCTTGTTCCTGGAAGCCTCATACAATGGTTGTAGAGACAGTGCCCAATAACAACAACAACAAAAGGCATATTGGAGTTTATAGTAAGTGCTATCTGGGAAAATATCAGAAATGTGTTAAAAACCCTGACCCTGGATCACTTCAAGTCCTTCAACTTTTTTGTCGTTTTGAGATAGGATCTCTTTACATAGCTGTGTCTGTCCTGGAACTCACTATGTAGACCAGTTTGGCCTTGAACTCACAGAAATAAATCTTGCTGCTTCTGCCTCCTAAGTCCTGGGATTAATGCCTTGTGCCACCACATATGATCCCCATCACCTTTTCTTGAGGCAGTCTTAGTGCAGGTTGGTATTGAACTTGCTGTGCCTTGATGACTTTGAACTTCTGATTCTTTGACATCTACTTTCCAGGTGCCTAGATTATAGTTGTGTGCCACATACCTAGTGTATGGTGCTAGGGACCCAGAGCATCATGAATGCCAAGCAAGCATTCCACCAATTGAGCTGTCTTCAGCATTGTTTCTGCTTTTTGAGATCACGTTTTTTTTTCACTCCTAGCCCAGGCTGGCCAGGAAATACTATCTGTCTTTATGCTTTGCTTTGCTCATCAGACAATAGGTGCAATACTTACCCTTCCTTAGGAGGAATGTCATGTCTTAAGGATAAAGTGCATAGTAAAATGCATATCACAGTCTTGAATATATGTAAGTAGGAACAGCTACCAAGGAGGAGTGGAGATACCTTAAACCTGGAAAATTTTTGTTGGCTCTACTGGAATGGTGACGTGAAGGAGGAAGCCACACGCCTTGGGCAGGAGATGTATCTTCTGAAAAGGGAGCCCGTGGAAGGGCTACTCTCACTCTTGGCTCCTTTCTCCTCCCTCAGCTCCACCTGTTCCCCAGGTGCCTGCTCTTCCCCGTGAGGGAAGCCCAGGAGACCAGGCAGCTGCGCTCCTGACAGCCAGGTACCAGGTGAGCTGAGGACCTCTGCTTTTCCTCAGGGTTTCTTGTTGCTGATTGACTGTGGCCTCTCTTTTATCCCATTTGTTAAACTTGCCTGGAAATCTTTTCAGTAGCAGTTTGGGAACAGATCTTCTTCAGAGACCTGGATTTGACACAAACGGTTTTTCTATCTCCCCCACCACCACCTTTGTCCATGATAATGTGATGGGCACTTAGAGGGTTTATTCTCTAGGTTCTAGTTTGTTCTCCCTTCTCCCTAACATAGCCACTAGATGTCCTCTGTGCCATGTTCATCATTCTCTGGCCATGGTGCTCTAGTAGCCCATTCCTGAAAGCAGCCAGAATTACTATTTCAGGAGTTTGTGACATTCGAGGATGTGACTGTGCATCTTACTCGAGAGGAATGGGGATGCCTGGACCCTGTTCAGAGGGAGCTCTACAGAGAAGTGATGTTAGAGAATTATGGAAACGTGGTTTCACTGGGTAAGGATCCTCCTGTTGCTCAAATTACCTGTTTGGATTTCTCCCTTGTTTCTGAGTAGGTATGAGGTCTTTGAGGTAGTCAGTGGAGTATGCTCAGGTTTTAGGTTTCAGCCCTCCATCTTTAAGGTCCTTTCCTGACATGGTTAGTTTAGGGTTCCTTTGGGCTATCCTTTCCTCTTCCTCATTCCCAGGTTATGTTTCTTGCTTTTGTGGGACATCTGTTTCCTGTTGACAGAGAAACTTGGTTGAGCTTTGGCTAAGCTCCACCTTTTCTTTTTTTTTAAATGAGAGTCTTAAGGATCTTCCCAACCTCTTGTCAGACTCTCTGTTCTGATTCCTTTATGTCCTGTATCTGAGATTTCCCCAATAAAGAAACACATATTTAAAAGAAAGGCTAAAATCTCTCTTGTTGAGTAGTCTCTCATTTTTTAAGATCCTCAGACTTATTTCCAAACATGCAGGCTTGAGAGACTTCATTTAAAGTTGGGATTCAGTTGTGTGTATTACACATTATATTGCATTATTCTAAATAACCATACCCCATGCAGCAGAAGGCTCAAGACATCCCATACTAGGTGAGCTAAATTGTTAAATCATGTTTCTTTGTTGTTTTGAGGATGCCTGGGATTAGGCAACCTATAGTGTTGTTGAGAAATACCTGTGAGGGGGCAGGGAGGGACAGGATTGATGGCAATCTCCTTGATGTGAACCCTCCTCCCCCTTTGATCTTGCATACACTCTTGTGTGTCTTATGTCTATAGTTAAACTTCCCCCACTTTTTTTTTCTTTTTGGTGGCACCTAGGGCATTTTTCACTTTGTTTTTGTGTTGGATTTAAGTAATATTCTCACCTGTGGGGAGGCAGTTTGCTCATTGGGAAGATTTTTAGTGTGTTTTCCATTCCTGGCTCTTTGATCTTTATAGGCATACTTCTCCGCCTTCCCACCACCCGGATTCATTGTGTGAATTCCTGCCCAGCCCTGAGTCATACCCAGGCAAGTGCTTTCTCTGGAGAAACACTTGCAGTCCTTACGGCAGGAATTACCAAGAGATGGCCCAGGTATCGGCTTTCCATCGGTAGTGCTCGTCCCTGCATGGAAACTTCTTTTCCAAGATTGTAAGATACTAACTTTGGTTGATGGATAGATGTCTCTTGGGATGCCACCATTATGTAAAGTTGCTGATCCCCAAATGACCTTTGGTGAATCTTTAACATGGAAGCCATTCTTAAAACCACATGGATTTGGAACTCAGTTAATTCATAAACCACACTTGGTGGTCAGCTACTTGTATGAGAAGCCACAAAGCTACCCTATCTCTTCAGTTGCCGTTGTTTCCTGTTACTTTAGAGCAGGAAACACTTGCTGTGTACTTTTTCTAGTAGTGAGTATAGCCTGTCTACTGGGTTACCTCAGTTTCCGTGACCCCCAAACTTCTTCATGTTTGGTATCATTTTCTCCTTCCTTTAAAGTTCTGTCTTCTTGCCCCTGATTCTTTGTGGTACCATACCAATTGATGTATTTATATTACCTTTCCTAATCAAGTATTCTTGGCACTGTCCTTGATGGAGGGGAAGTGGGGGGCACAAAATGAAATAGTTCAGGACATTAAAATGGATGTATATTTAAAAGCTTTGTAAATTGTAAAATGATCTATATATAATTGTAAACTTCTGTTAACTTTACCTAATACAGAATTTCCAACAGTTAAAACTTGTGTACTTTTTGTAGTAAAGAAATTATGTGATAGTTTAGCACAAGCTTATAGCATACTATACTGCTGGGTGGAACTTTATCTTATTTTATCTTATCATCTCTTAACTCACAAAGGACACATATACATGCATACCCATACAGTCTACAAGAAACCCTCCTGTCCTACCCCACTTGTTTTTGTGACTAAGCCAGCATTTTTTTTTTTTTTGAAATAGGGTTTTTCTGTGTAGCCCTCATTGTCCTGGAACTCACTCTGTAGATCAGGCTGGCCTTGAGCTCACAGAAATCCTCCTGCCTCTGCCTCCCGAGTATTCAGATTAATGGAGTGTGCCACCACTGCCCATTCAAGCCAACATATTCTTAGCAATCTTTTTTTTTGGTTTTTCGAGACAGGGTTTCTCTGTGGCTTTGGATGCTGTCCTGGAACTCACTTTGTAGACCAGGCTGGCCTCGAACTCACAGAGATCCGCCTGCCTCTGCCTCCCGAGTGCTGGGATTAAAGGCGTGCGCCACCACCGCCCGGCTTTAGCAATCATTTTTAACATCCTTGGGAATTAACTTTGTGAGTCACCATATACCATTAGAAATATAAAGTTATATATGTTTATAATTTTACTTAGTGTTTGGGGTTATAACTTAAAGAACTTTATAATTCAGTCCATGGCATAGTCTGCCTTTCCAGTTCAAGTTTTTCCCATGACTGTATTTTTTATTTGTCATGAATACCAGAAGGTTAGCCTCTTTGTTAAGTGTTTGCACTAGACAGCAGTAAATAAATGACTGAGTTAAAAAAAATGTTTGTCTTGAAGGCAACCTTGATTTGCACAGAATGTTTTCTACTATCATGATATATATTAAATGATATATGTATCATTTAATCCTTGCTATAACTCAACAATGCATAGAGGATATTACTCTTTTAAGAAGTTTCTTTTAAAGCCTTGAATCTCAGCACCAGGGAGGCAGAAGCAGGTAGATCTTGAGTTCCAGGCTTGTCTGGACTGCAGAGTGAGCTCTAGGACAGCCAGGGCTACATAGAGAAATCAAACAAAACAAACAAAAAAAGAGGTGCAGTATACACAATTCATGGTTCTGACTATCCAGGAGTGTTGTTAGTAGTGATAATGACAGATTAAAAAATTTTTTTTAAGGTTTATTTTTTGTTTTTTGAGACAGGGTTTGTCAGTAACCCTGGCTGTGCTGGAACTCACTCTATAAACCAGACTGTCCTTGACCTCACAAAGTTCTGCCTGCCTCTGCCTCCCGAGTACTCAGATTAAAGGCCTGTGCCACCACTGCTCAGCACCTGAGATCAACTTTAGGAAATGATTTATTTTTATTTTATGTTCATTGGTGTTTTGCCTGCATGTATGTCTGTAAGGATGTCGGATCCCTGGGACCTGGAGTTATACACAGTTGTGAGTGGGTACTGGGAATTGAGTCCAAACCCAGGTCCTTTGGAAGAGCAGCTAGCACTCCCAACTCCTGAGCCAGGGAGAGGTGGGACTTTCTGAGTCCCTCCCATATCCATATTGTAATATTGATTGATGGGCCCAACCCCCTGCCCCCTTTTTTTCTGGAGACAGGGTTTCTCTGTATATCTCTGGCTGTGTGGGAACTTGGCTCTGTTGACCAGGCTAGCCTCAAACTCACAGAGATCTGCCTGTGCTAGGATTAAAGTTGTGCACAATCACTGCCTGGCAGTGGGCCCAGTCTTATGTAGATAACCAACCACTGCTTCTGTGAGCTCTTGAAAGCAACAGCCTTCTTTTACAGCACTCTTCCTTCTGCTTGCACCCCTTCTGTGATGTCCTTGAGTCGTGGAAGGGGTGATACGGACATTCTCTTTAGGGCTGAGCACTCGACAGTCTTGTTCTCAAATCTTTCTTTTTTTTTTTTTTTTTTTTTTTTTTTTGGTTTTTACGAGACAGGTTTTCTCTGTATTGTTTCGGAGGCTATCGGTCCAGCCTGGCCTTGAACGCACAAAGATCCGCCTGCCTCTGCCTCCCGAGTGCTGGGATTTAAGGCGTGCGCCACCACCGCCTGGCCTCATACCTACATTCTTAACTTTTTGTTTTCCTTTAAAAATAGTCCTGGCTGGCTGGGAACTTGCTGTGTACACCAGGCTGGTTTCAAATTCACAGAGATCCTCCTTACTCTACCTCCCCAGTGTTGGGATTAAAGCCCCCTCCTTTAAAATTAGTCATAGGTTTCTATATGGCCTTTACATACATGATCATTTTCCCCATCTCCTGTTATCCTACCCCACCTCTCCTCCACTTACATTTAAACATTTTTCACTCCTATTATTTCCTTTTGATTTCCTGTGTTCTACTGTGTTTTCCACTATTATCTTTCCTCCCCCATAAATGGAGTTCTTAATTGGTCTAAGTAATATAAACCTGGAGTCAGATATAGAGGAAAATGCTGAGAGATCAGAGAGAAGGAGCAAACCACCATCACACCTTACCTCCTTAGCGTCTCAGCAGACAAGAGAGTGAGTTCTTGCTTCTCCCTGCTTGTATCCTGTTTCTGCCTAGCTACTTCTCTTCATGTCTGTCTGTACAGACCTCCAGACCTCTATGGTTAGCTAGTGGCATGCTCCATTCTATGACATTCAGACAGGCTTTATTTGTACAAACAAGATTACCTCCCCCCATTTGTATAGGTGCTCCCAAGTTAAACACAGAAATCTGAAAATTGCAAGCTTCTGGACCTGGGTGACCTCATTCAATATGACATTTCCAGCTCCATTTTCCTACACATTTCAATTTTTCTTTTTAAAGACTTACTTTAATTGCATGTGTATGCATGTGTAGTAAGTGTAAGTGCAGGTGCCCTTAGAGTCTAGAAGAGGTCATCCAATTCTCTGGAGCTAGATTTGCAGGCAGTTGTAAGCAGCCTGACGTAGGTGCTGGGAATTAAACTCAGGTCCTCTGTAAATGCAGTGCACTCTTTAACTGCTGAGCCACCTCTCAGCTCCTTCTTTTTTCTTCATAGCTGAATAAAATTGCATTGTGTGTATGTACCACATTGTCATTATGAGTTACTCAGTTGATGGGCGACTCAGTTGATTTTTTTTTTTTTTTTTTTTTTGGTTTTACGAGACGGGTTTCTCTGTATTGTTTTGGAGGCTCTCGGTCCAGCCCAGCCTCGAACTCACAGAGATCCGCCTGCCTCTGCCTCCCAAGTGCTGGGATTAAAGGCGTAGGCCACCACTGCCCAGCGACTCAGTTGATTCTTAAGCCATTTTTAAGAATCTGTGTCACTCATGTGGTGGCATACCAGGATAAGGGGAACAAGCAATAAATTAGATATCCAGTATATAAATAGGTTTTTGGAGATGAATGACTCAAACCAAACCTTTCATATGTGTTCTTTGATACTTTCTGTGCTCAGGGCATATAAAAACTGTCCTTTGGTATTAATAGCATCAAAATTCTATTTGCTAAGCAGGTTCCCTAGTGCTTTAGTATTGAGAGATTGAGCTGTTCAAGCATGAGGCAGGTTTGTCCTATTTGAGACAAACCTGTGTTATACTGTGAGTTCATGGACAGCCCGGGCTACAGAGTGATACTATCTAAAGAACTACATACACACACATACACCACATAAATGAAGATGTAAGGAGTCTTTTTGACAATAGGAAGTTTGTTTTACATGCACTTGTACTATCCTTCACTGTAGCATGTTGTAGTCAGTGTTTATAGCTGTCTTTGTATTTAGAAGGCGAGGTCCTTCAGTTGTTTGAGATGAGTTGGCCCTTTGGCTTGGGCTCTCTATCTCCACCATACTTTTCATATAAGAGATACTTCATAAATGCTTGTTGAATAAAAAGTGTACGCTGATTCCTATATGAAGATGTGGCATACACTTTGTTCCCATGTGCACTGAAACAGATTGCTTTTTTTTTCTTTAAAAAAAGTGAAGATATTTGAATGGATTTGTGGAACATTATGATAACTGAGTACTTTGATATGATATGCAGTGATTCAGTCAGGGCAAATAAGCATTCCCATCTCTTCAGTAATTTTGTTTTGTTTTGAGACAGTTTCTCTTCATGCAGCCTTGGCTGTCCTGGAACTTGTTGTGTAGACCAGGGCAATCATAATTATATGTATATGTCTGAGTGTGGGTATATGTGCATGAGTGCAGGTGCCCAGGGAGGACAGACAAGGGCTTCAAATTCCCTGGAGCTCAAGGTATAGCCAATATGAGCTGCTATCTGGACGCTGGAAGCTAGTCCCTACAAGAGCAGTTAAGTGCTTTTAACCACTGTACCATCATCCACCCATCCCTTGATGTTGGAGATTTTAAAATCTTATTAATTAGAACTACATTGCAAAGTGTTTGACTTGTTAACGTACTGTGCTGAAGAAGAACCAGAAATCCTGTTTTGGTGTTATTTATTGAACTTCTGTCTTACTGGTTTTTGCTAAAATTATTCATATATTGCTGATTTGATGCTATACTTTAACTTTTACTATGTAGCAGGTGTTTGAATTAAATTTTGAGGAAACAATTTGGTACTTGTAGACCAGGTCTAATACCAACATTGTGCCCTAGACCACAGGAATACTAATGATAACTTCTGTGAAGACAGGTACACATCTCTGCACGAACTCCCTGAATTATATTTAAATGAAAGTTGCTGCTTCCGAGTTACATATTCTCCCCTTACTTAGCACACCCTTTACCAGAGTACAAATCTGAACTTCTTAGAGGACCTTGTCCTCTTCATTCTCTAGGTCTTCCTGATAAAAGTCTTCTCAGAACTTATCTTCTGCATTAATCATTACTAAAAAGAAAAGAGGGCAGTGTAGCATCTGGGGATAAATTGCCATATTCCATTTCCTTCTCTGTGAGCAGGATTTCCAGTTTCCAAGCCTGATGGGATCTCCCAGCGGGAACAAGATCTACAGGTCTTTGATCTGGAAACTAAGAATAGAGAAGTCATAAGAGATGACTGTTCAGGTGAGTAAGGCAGAACCTGTCAGATGAATCAGTGGAGATGAAGTTTAGGTGTTGATCCAAGTTCTGGCTGAGCTCTTAACACACAGAGCTCTGCCGTTCTGGAGTGAAGAGAGCCTGTCTGTCTTTACAAATTAATTCCTTTTGTACAGGTGTGCTTGGTCCTAGTTCAAGTTACAGGACTTGATATTTTAATATTCCTTTGAAATTTACTGCCTTGTTGTTTTACTTTGCTGAAATAGCCTGTTTGTATCATCCCTTGATCCATTTCTGTCCCACCTGCTCCTATTGTTCTTGCCCTTAACATCTGCTGTTGAAATTTTGTGCTTGGTTTTTAATGTAAATAAAATTTGCTTATCTTTGAGGATACTATATTATTTAGTTTCCTCCTATTTTTATTTATTTATTTTTAAGCACGGGGTACATATTACATTGCATTTTCTATTTATATATTGTATTAGATGGAGAGACCAGAGAAGAAAACAAGCTGTTGATCCCTAAGCGGAAAATTTCAGAAGAAGTGCATTCATACAAAGTGAGAGTAGGAAAATTCAAACAGAATATTGTGCAAGTTCCTGAGAGCAGAGAGGTGTATAAGTCTGAGGACAGATTAGAAAGACTCCAGGAGATCCTAAGAAAATTTCTCTTTCTGGAGAGAGAGTTTAGACAAATAACAATCAGCAAGAAAAACTTCACCAGTGAGAAGAACAGTGAACCTGAAAAAAGCTTCAGTCTAGACTCCACAGATACAGATCAGAGAGTTCTTAGAATACAGACCATTGATGACAGTAAGTATGACCTGAACTTCAACCAGAACCCAGGTGTTGGTGAACAAGAACCCATAAATCTAACACAGAATTTTCAGAGTAGTGACTATAAAGAAAGCTTAATGGACCTGTCCCACCTTAATAAATGGGAGAACATACCTGCCACTGATAGATCCTATAAATGTGATACATGTGGGAAAACCTTCCATCAGGCCTCAGCTCTTACCAGACACCAGAGAATTCACACAAGAGAGAAACCCTACAAATGTAAAGAATGTGAGAAGTCTTTCAGTCAGAGCTCAAGTCTTAGTCGACATAAAAGAATACACACTAGAGAGAAATCCTACAAATGTGAAGTGTCCGATAAATCCTGTGATGCACCTGACAAATCCTGTAGCCAGAGCTCAGATGTGCTTCAGCATAAGAAGGCTCATGCCAAAGCCAAGTCTTACAAGTGTGGCAGCTGTGAGAGAGTCTTCAGCCGAAGTGTACATCTTACTCAGCATCAAAGAACTCACAAGGACATGGCGTGTAAATGTAACGTGTGTGGCAGTGACTTCTGCCACACCTCGTATCTAGTTGAACATCAGAGGGTACATCATCAAGAGAAGTCTTATGAGTACGATGAATGTGGACTGGCCTATGTGAAACAACAAGGAATTCGTTTCCGAGAAAAGCCCTACACATGTACTGAATGTGGGAAAGACTTCAGATTGAATTCCCATCTTATTCAGCATCAAAGAATTCACACGGGAGAGAAGCTGCACGAATGTAATGAGTGCGGGAAAGCTTTCAGCCAAACCTCATGCCTTATTCAGCATCACAAAATGCACAGGAAAGAGAAATCATATGAATACAATGATTATGAGGAAAATTTCAGTCACAATTCTGATCTTACTTTGCAACAAGAAGTTCCTGTTAGAGAGAGTGTCTTTGATTGTGATGCATGGGAAGAGAACTTCAGTCAAAGAGCTCATCTTGTCCAACATGAAAGGATTCATACCAAAGAGAAACCTTATGAATGCAATGAACTTGGGGAGACATTTAGTCAAGTTCAGGCTTCATTCAGTATGTGAGAACTGAGACTAGAGAAGTCACATCTATACTGAATGTGTTAACGTCTTCAGTTATAAAGCTCAGTCCTTGGACAGCATCAGAGAATTCATACCAGAGAGAAACCCGCCGAATGTGATGAGTATTAGGACTTTGTGTGTGTGTGTGTGTGTGTGTGTGTGTGTGTGTGTGTGTGTGTGTGTGTGTGTGTTACATCTTCACTGGCTCTTGTAAATCAGTGCTAGAACACATAGAACATGGTTCATTCTTCAGATTATTTTCATACCTTAGTCACAGTTGGGGAATTTGTAATGGAGTAAAATTCCACTGTTAAATGTGAAAAAGCCGTCTGTCAACTACCTTGTTGGTTCAGTGTCAAATTTGTGCCATGCAGAAAGCTTGTGAAGATAGGTGTGTATGTGAGGAAACACAGTCATACCATAGTGCTTGCTTACATCGAAGAATCTGTACCCAAGAAATCACTTGGGTATAGTAAACATGACAAATCTGTGAGCAGGGGCTCATCTGTCATCAGAATGTACCAGACGAGAATCTGAATACTATGGAAATGGTAAGATCAGAATGTCTGCACCAGATGAGACAGAGAGAATGCAAATGGTGAAACTTACCAGTCTATTTCAGGCCTTATCCAGTACCAAAGTATTGGAGAGAAAATGGTTGCTTCTGTGTGTAATTATTCCTGTTTAGTTCCAGCCTCTTCAGTGTAGAATAACTGAATTCAGAAGATAATTGGTGAATACATTTTTTCTGACAGCATCCTTTAATAAGTATTCTAAGTAGGTACGAGTATTTTATTTACAGAACTCATTTAAGTGAGTTTAATTTGGCCTATATACATTAAAACATTTTTTTCTTTGAAATTGATTCATATTCACAGTTTGCCTAGGATGCTGTTTTTGTACCAGTGTTGACATAGCTTCTGGAGAGTAGCTCTGTGAGCTTTTTCTGTCTTGGCTTAAGTGCTATCCACAGGAGACTCAGGCCTATTATTTTCTGAGGACCCTACATGCTGTTGTTTCTATAGCCATACTGTTGGCTTCTTGTTGATTTTTGCATTCTCATAGGCATCTTTAAATGATGTCCTGGTTTTAAGCTTCTCACTAGATGTTACTGCTATTCTGTGGGATCTTCTATGGTGAATCTTCCTTTAAAGTTGTATATCCACATCAGGCATCCACATTTGGAGGATTCAGTCTTCCTGAGTTTGTGGCAGGCCCCCAAACACTTGTAAGTAATGCCCAAGTTTTTAGCTGCCTTGTTTGCATCCACAGCCCTTTAAAAGAGATGACAAGAATATCAGGGAGCCAGTAAGACTCCTGGTGGTCTAGCTACATTCATTCAGTGCCTACTTTGCATGAATGCGTACATTTAGAAATCTTTTATATGCCTGTATTGAAGGCCAACATAACGCTCAGGTCTGCTTTTGATAGGGAAACAAAGAACACACAAATCACTTCGTAAGGAAATACAGCCTTCCAATAAAGATGTTGCTGTTATTAGTGATGTAATCTAGACAGTATTCTAAGAGTGGCAGGTCCGTTCCTGGTAAAATTTTAACCATTAGGATTGCTTCTTTATCTGTCCTCCCTCCACTCCCTTCATCAAGCCAGGGTAGTATTTTCAAACATAGGGCTTTGTGCATGATTGTTTGTGCATTGCCATTCTTTTGTGTTGAGATGCAGTCTTACTTTGTTGCCCAGGCTGGCCTTGAATTCCTGGGTTCATACAATCTTCCTGCCTCCCAAGTAGCTGGGATTATAGGCATGCGCTCCTGTGCCTGGATTTTATTTTTGTATTTTAATAGAATCTACAGGCCATATAAAAGATCATGGCTGTTTTGATTTATAGAAGTGATCACAGGTGTTGAGTTCAGGGTCCCTGCCCTATACAACATAGAGTTCATGATTCTTTACATGGTGTCAAAGTATTTTTTTCATCTTAAAATTCATAACATTTTATGAATAAGAAAAGTATTAAAATTCTACTTGTCAATCAAGCAGTTGAGGCTTTTGTAGTTCAGATGTTGTAATGTTTACTAGGATCCTCAACCAATATATAAAATATATTGCTCACTCTGTAAACCTTGTGGCTAACCTGTAGGATAGTCCTACCACTGTATTTTACTTCTTTGCCATCAGCAAGCGTAGTGTCTCATCAGGGCAAGAAAATCGACATATATCCAATTGATTTAAATGTAAAAACAAATGAAAAATGCATGTTTTTTTTTTGTCCCTATCAAAATTGTATACTCTTACTTATAAAGACCAGTGGTCACCTATAGTGACTGAGGCAGAGGATTGATTCATCCCTAAGTAGCAGAATCTGTAAAAATCACATGTATGCATTTGGGCTAGGAACGTGCTTTTGTACTTCTACCTGAATAAAGGTGTGTTCAATGCTCTTAGACTCTTGTTTTGAACCGAGTCCAAGGCCCCAGCAGGAAGATCTGGGTATCTTGGAATTCCTCACCTTCCTGCCTGCAGCAAGCTCCTCTTTGAGTCTCACAAGAGTGGGTCTATCTCTACTGATGCCCAGCTTGCTTCCCACAGACCTCTGCAGCCATTTATAATTGAGAAGTTTTACTTTATTGTTTTTTTATGAGTGTTTTGCCTGCATGGATATGTGTATTACATGTGTGCCTGAAATCCATAAAGGCCAGATGAGGACATCAGATCCCCAGAAACTGGAATTACAGATATTTTTGGGCCATCATGTAGGTGCTGAGAATCAAAATCCTGTTCTCTGCAAGAGCAGCCAATGTCCTTAACCACAGAGCAAGCTTTTTAGCTCCCAGATTGAGTGTTGATTCACTTGGGATGCTTCAGGACATTAAAAAGAACAGTTTGCGATTTCAGTAGAGCTCTTAGAATGCTTTAGTATGTAAAGCAAACTAAGAAAATGCTAAAATAGTTATTGAAGTAACTTGTCTCCTCAAGTAGATAGTTGGTATAACAACAGTATGAATTTCTATTAAGTCTTTGGCCTTAGGGAGAGAAGAAATTTATTAGCTGGAAACTTACTTCATTTGTTTTCATTTCATGACTTTTTTTTTTGGTTTCTCTGTTTTGGAGGCTGTCGGTCCAGCCTGGCCTCGAACTCACAGAGATCCACCTGCCTCTGCCTCCCGAGTGCTGGGATTAAAGGCGTGTGCCACCAATGCCCGGCTCATTTCATAACACTTTTATGTCCACATTCAAGCTTGATTTTTCACATAGTTCTGCAAGAGAACTGGGCTGTTACAGATTCATTGAGGTGCAAAGAGACTGAAGAACTTAGGGTCTCACAGCAAGTAAATGTCTCCAGGAAGTTGGAGGGATGGCTCAGTGGTTAGAGCACTTGAGTGTTCTTCTTGAGGTCCTGAGTTCAATTTCCAGCAACACATGGTATTTCACAACCATCTGTAATGGATTAAACTTCCTCTTGATGTGCGTGAAGATAAAACACATTATACACACACACATAAATACATGAAATACATAAAACAAAATACATGAATAAGTCCTTAAAAAAAAAAACCTAACGTCTCATGCTGTCCTGCCTGGCCCAGAACTCTGATATAACCCACCCTTCTGGCTCCCAATTTTTTGTGTCTCTGCTATGAACATTTTGTCTGTTCATCATGTGCATGCAATGTTTATGGGGGCCAGAAGAGGGTGCTGAAGCCCTTGGAACTGTAAGCTGCTGTGTGGGTGCTGGGAATCAAACTTCCTCTGGGGAAAACAAGTTCTCTTATCTGCTAAACCATCTCTCCAGCCCTTGTTCCAGCTTTTTTTTTTTTTTTTTTTTTTTTTCTGAGACAGAGTTTCTCTGAGTAACTTTTGACCCTGTCCCAGAACTCGATCTGTAGACCAGGCTGTCTGTCCTCTAGTCTCAGCCTCCTGAGTGCTGGGATTAAAGGCATGCGCTACCAGCAGCCAGCTCCTTGTTCCAACTTTTTTTTTTTTTTTTTTTTGAGACAGGGTTTCTCTGTATTGTTTTGGAGGCTGTCCTGGAACTCATTCTGTAGACCAGGCTGGCCTTGAACTCACAGAAATCCGCCTGCCTTTGTCTCCCGAGTGCTGGGACTAAAGGCGTGTGCCACCACCGCCTGGCCTCCTTGTTCCAACTTTTAAAGTTTATTTTAAAATGTATTTTTATTTGAGAATTTCATACATACATATGCTTTGACAACATGACCATTTTGTAAGACTGCAATAATAGGTTGTTGGGCCTATGACCTCCCTTGCTGTGACCAGGTTTGTGGTAGTATGTATGAGTTTATGTGAAGTAGCCTCAAATTTAACCAGAAAGTGGCATAAGTATGGTATTTGAAGGTACTGAATAAGGGAATTCTATAGAGGGCAAAAGCCCTTACTCTAGGGAATGGATGTGAGCAACTGAACACAGAGTCTCCATACGGCATTGAATCCAGACTTCATCAGGCAAATGCTATACCACTCAGCTATTTTTCTACCTCCACCTAGGTTTATGGAAGTTAAAATGAGGCCCTGGATAGTCACTTCAGCAAATGTAATGACATTCCCACATCTGAAAATGTAGCTTCATCCATCCATCTTACATGGTTGTGAGGTGTGTAATACTAGTGCTAGTCAGTGTGGGCAGTTAACCTAATCAAGTGAATTGATCCGTGGAATAAAGAGAACTGCAGGTTATTAGTACAGTACAAAGCTTGGGCTTTGTTCAACTGTATTAAAATAAGTGTCCCTTTGAGATTTTCTATAACTTGGCTATGCAGTAAAAGCATATTGAAAGATAAATGTGAAGGGCATCAGCCACATCAAGAAGGACATTGGAGTGTTGACTGTCCCCATGCCATGAGGGACGTGGGGATAACAAGTCCAGACCACACTTGAGCCAAACTCTTTGGTCTGGCCATGGACAGTTGATGGGGTTTGAATTCCCTTGGCCTGATCACCATTTCCTACAGGGAGCCTTGGGTAATCATCACAGTATCAGGGAGATCCAATTCTCTCCACCTGGATACCACAGCTACTTTTCCAGTCCTGATGAAGTTCTGGGGACCCACCTTACCCCCTTGTTCTGCTGTCAGAGTAGGGGGATAACCTTACCAAGCCCACCAAATCCCACCATTTAGCTGCATCCCCTCACCCATTTCCTTGTACCAATCTTGTCCTGTCCCTTTGCTGGGAAGAGACCCCCTAACCAAAAATGGGAGCTTCTGTTTCTTTTGTTCTCTCCATCTGCTTAACCCCAGGCTCATCAGCCATTCCTCTCCTCCAAACAACACATTCTTGTTCTTTTCCTTTACCAGTTTCTCAAGTAGATCTCAGTTATGGGACACCCAAAACCCTCTACAGCCAAACATCACCCCCTTATCAAACTACAAAGAAGATTTGAAATGTTAAGAGATGGACATAGCTGAAAAGTCAGTGTTGCGTCCTCTACTGATGACTCAAAATTTGTTTGGCATTTTTTTCCTTTGAGGGGCTTCAGCTAAGGGTATGTGGAAATTGACTTTCTAAGGTTTAAATTGTGTAACAGTAAAGAAAGTCTGTTGTGTAGCAGCAGTCAACCAGCCAGCCAGCCAGCCAGCCAGCCAGTCAGTCAGTCCACCAGCATCTGGCTCCCCTGCTGTTGCAAAAGCCAGAATTTATCCTGGAGTGACCCTAATTCTTTCATAGACCAGCATAAAACTGAACAGTTAATGATTCCCTAAGGAGCTGTAGGCAGTTAAAGGTGGCAGAGAAGCAGTATTTTCTTCAGTGCTGTAGTAACTAGTTAGTTGCTTATGCCCATTTGTCCAGTAAATAACATTCCATCCACACTCAGACAAAAAACTAAACTCAGTGGGTCACACAAACAGCCATGAAAGTGGGAGTTGTCTAGTAAGAAAGAGGTTTAGCAGGAGAGGATGATAGAAGTTAACTGGAGGGAGAGATGACCAAAATTCATTATATTCATGTATGAAATTATCAAGGAATTACTTTATAAAAATAATTTCACACCATGTTTTTTCACTTATTTTTTCCATATATTTTTATTTAACTTTTTACGCATGTCACTTTCAGTTCCCTCTCCCTCCCCTCCTCCTCACCCCCCAATCCTCCCAACCCATCACCCACTCTCCACCTGCCTCTGCTCCCCAGGGAGGGGAAGGGCCTCCATGAGGGATTTTAAGGGTCTGTCACATCCCGGGAAGGGCCCAGGTTCTTCCTCATGTGTCCAGGCTGAGAGAGCATCCCTCCATGTGGCATGGGTTCCCAGAGTCCTTCTGTATGCCAGAAATGTATACTGCTCCACTCTCCTAGGTCCCATAGATTGCCAAGGCCTCCTCTCTGTCACCCAGGTTCAGTGGCAGGGTGTCTGGATCAGTCCCATGCTGGCCCCTCAGTCATCAGTCTGGGGTCCATGTTTTCACTTAATTTTTATTTTTTGGTAATTTCATACATGAGTACTGTATTTGGTAATTTCATACATGAGTACTGTTTTCACCACCCCCTTCTACCCTCCAACTCTTTCTGTCCCCACCACTCCATCTCATGTTCATGACCTGGTTCTTCTAGGGAGAGATCTTACATACCCATAGCACTGACCACGCCCGGTTGGGCGTGGCCACAGGTATGTAGAATGTGCAGAGGATAAAAGAGCTGGGGGGAAGGAGATGCACTCTTTTTGGGTTGCGATTGAGTCGTGGAGAGCAGCAAGCAGACCTTTGGTTCTCAACTTTCTTGGCTTCTCATGTGACTTCTTCCTCAATAATATCATATGACGTCCCTTCCTTTGTGTAACTTAATATTTCCATGATAGGTTCTCTATAATTATTGTTGTTTACACACACACACACAAATCCTACTAAGTCCATTTGGAGTTGCTAGTTTCTGTATGTGTTTAGGGCTCACCAATTCTGGCCAAATGACCTATCATCAGTGGGCTCACCTTGGATGACATTCTCCCACTTTCAACAGCCACTGATTGCCTGCAGCTCTTCATCTAGGGGTGAGGGCTTGTTCAATTCTCCCCATCCACAGTGGATGTTAGCTGTTGTCATTATTGGTGCCTTGTTTTGGCAGCCTTATGATTGGGATTTCATGGGTGCAGCATCCCTGCCATATTTAGAAGATACCATGCAGCATCAGTTGCCCTGGTATTCTGGCTCTTACAGTCTTTCTGCCTCTTTTTCTGTTATGCTTTATGAGTCTTAGGTATAGAGGTCACATTATAAATGTAATATAAATATAAAATATAAAACCAGGTAGGGTTGGGCACCCCACGGTCACTTACTCTGCATTTCGACATGTTGTGGATCTCTGAAACAGCCTCCACTTGCTGCAGAAAGAAGCTGCTTTGATGAGGGGCAAGGGCTACACCGAGCTGTGGGCATAAGTACTCTTTTTTTTTTTTTAAGATTTATTTATTATATGTACAGTGTTCTGCCTGCAGGCC